CGCCAGATCATCAACTCGCTCGAGAAGGGCCGCCTCGCCGATGCCGCGCTATTTGCGACGAGTGTCCGCCCCGCAGACGATGCGCCGCAGCCGCCCCTCCTCGCGGCCGCGGAGTCGCCCGCGTCCGAGCTCCAGGTGCACAAGGCCGCATTCTTCTTCAAGCTGGAGCGTGAGCTCGAGAAGATCAATGCGTTCTACCTGCAGAAGGAGTCCGAGCTGCGCGCGCGCCTCACGACACTCATCTCAAAGAAGCGCCATCTGATTGCGCTCGCGGCTCGCACGGACGCTGCGGGGAATCCCAAGCTGGGTGCCACTGGGCTTTCGTCGCGCACGTCGCCGTCGCTTGTCGCGCTCTTGGAGGGGTTCCGTTATTTCGAGAAGGACTTGGCCAAGCTGCAGGTATGTGGGCTGGGGGGGGGGGGGGGGGGAAGAAAAGGTGCGGAAGAAAAGGGGTAGGGGGAAAAAAGGGAGGGGACGAGGCGGGGGGTGTGAGAAAGAGGGGAGAAAAAGTGCGGTGGGACAAGGGACGGGGGGGAGGGGGGAAGGAGGGGAATAAAAGCGGGCCGTTGGGGCGGGCTTGTCGTACAGGACCTACCCCCTTGTACCATCCTCTTGCTTCCCCCTCTCTCTTGCTTCCCCCCCCCTTTTTTCTCTTCTTTTTTTCTCTCCCTTGTCTTTTTCTCCGCTTACCTCTTCTTCATCTTTACCCCCTATTCTCTCCGTCCTTTTCTCTCTCCCTTTTTCTCCCCCCTTGCTCCCCCCCCCCCCCCTCCCCCCCTTCCTCCCCCCCCTTTCCCCTCCCCCCCCACTCACCCCAGCAATTCATCGACATCAACGCGACGGGATTCCGCAAGATCTTGAAAAAATGGGACAAGCGGTCCAAGTCGCAGACAAAGGAGCTGTATCTGGCGCGCCAGGTCGACGCACAGCGTATGCCGCCCCTCCTCCCACACTCACCGCAGCCTGCTTCAACCGCGCGTTCATCGGGGAGATGAGCGACATTGCAGCGGCGTCACGCCTGCAGCTCGAAAGCCTCGCCGAGGGGAACATCCTACCGACAGCGTCGTACAAGGGCGAGGCGGCGATCCTGAAGAGCAGCCTGCCGTATGCAGCGACGAACCTGCCGGGCGGCATGTTCCTCCACGACGGAGGCATGGCCGGCGACGGCCTCGTGTTCGACTCGGAGCGCCCGTTGGACTTTGCGGCCGCGGGCCGCGAGCGCCCGGGCGCACTCGCAGAGCTAGGCGAGCGGCTCGGCGCGACGGTCCACGAGGGCCGCGTCGCGGAAGCGCTGCAGGTGCTCGCCGACGCGCGCCGCGAGATGGCGCAGGACGCCGAGGGCGCAGACCCGGACGCGCCGGGCGGCGGCGGGCTCACGCACATGGTATGGCGCGCGCTCGTCGCTGCGCCGGACACGGCACTCTTGCAGGCGGTTGCCGCGGGCCTCCCCGACTACGCGTTCGAGGACGACATCAACGCGCGCACGGCCCTGCACATGAGCGCGATCGCCGGGAAGCTCTTGCTGGTGCGCGCATGCATCGAGCACGGCGTGCCGCTGCGGCAGCGCGACGTTTATGGACGGGAGGCGCTCGCGTACGCGGCGATGCATGGGCACGGCGCGATGTGCGCGTACCTGCTCTCGCTCCCCGCGGCGCGCAACGCGGGCGACGCCATGGTCGACAACGTGGACCTGGACGGCTTCTCCCCGCTGCTGCATGCGATCGTGCACCGCCACACGGACACGGTGCGCATCCTGCTCGCGTACACCGCGGCGATCGGCGCCGTGCCGCGCAGCAAGGCGGACGCCAGCGACCTGGCGCCCCTCGCGGTCGCCGCGCAGAGCGGCCATGTGGAGATCACGCGGCTCCTCCTTGCGCACGGCGCCAAGGTCGAGCCGAACACGGAGGGGCTCCTCCCGCAGGCGCTCGCGGCACGCGCGGGGCACACTGAGTGTCTGCGCCTGCTCATCGGCGCTGGCGTCGCGGTGAATGCGGTCGAGAAAGGCACCCTCTGGACGCCACTCTTCAATGCGGCGGAGTTCGGGCATTTCGCCTGCGTGCAGCTGCTCCTCGACGCGGGCGCCTCCCTGCAGCACACGGACGAGAAGGGCCGCGACGCGGTGTTTTACGCCGCGTGGAACGGGTGGGTCGCGTGTGCGCAGCACATGATGCGGCGCGCGGGCGCCCCCGCGGAGGCGCGCACCGGCGGGCGCTCCCCGGACCGGGGCGCGCTCTCCGCGGCGGAGGCCGCGCGCGAGATGGACGCAGACGGGATCCCGTCGCTGCACCTGCCGCCGCCGATCATCCCGTTCCGCACGTACGGGCACAACTATCTGGACAAGCGGTCGCTCGTCTGCCTCTCGCTGTCGAACCGGTCGATCGTGCTGCACGGGCAGCCGCTGCCGGACCGCGCGGACATGTTTCCGGGCCTCGCCTCCTCGTTCAAGCTCGTACTCACGCCGCGCAGCGCCGAGGGCAGCGCGCCCGCGGGCATCCCACACACCATGGTCCTCCCGATGGCCGAGGAACGCGACGAGGTCACGTTCCAGGTCGCGGACCCGGAGCAGTTCTATGTCGAGTGGGAGCTCTTCCGCACGTTTGGGTCCTCGCGCATCGCCAAGGGCGCCGTCGTCCCTGGCGCGCTGAATGCGGTGGCGAACCGCGAGACGATGCAGCTCCCGCTTTTTGACTGGCACCTCAGTGTTGTCGGGCACGTCCTCTTTGGCGTCGAGTGCGTCCGCCCGTTCGGCAGCGTGCAGCTGCAGATCGGCGGCCGTGTCGAGACGTACTGGAAGAGCACGCTTCCCGGCAGCAGCGCGGGCGGCGCGGCAGGGAGTGGCGCGGGCGGCAGCGGCATGCTCTCCCCGGCGCCACTGCCCGCGCTGCCCGCGGACGCCGCCCCACCCGCAGACGCCGCGTACGTCACCGCATCGTCGCTCTCCGGCACGTATCTGCGCGTGCATGTGCAGTTCACCCGCGACCTCGTTCCCGTCGTGTGCGCGGCGCCGACGCTCCCGCTGGACATCTGCGAGCCCGCAGTCGCGCACGTCTCCGCCGCGCAGTTCCACGAGATCGCGCGCCGCGCGGGACGCGCGTGGAGCGTCAGCGCCGCGGACGCTGCGCGGTTTTCCGTCGCGCAGTGGCACGACGCGCTCGCCTCGTCCCTCGTCTCCCTGCAGACGCTACTCGAGTGCGTGCCGCCGCGCATCGGCCTTGCCCTCGAAGTCGTCGTTGCGGCAGCCACGCCGCAGCTCCCGCTGAACGCGTGCATCGACGCCGCCTTGCATGCGGTGTACGGCGCCGCCGACCGCGACAGCGGCGCGAGCCGCAGCCTCTTCTTCAGCAGCGCGTGTGCGAGTGCGTGCGTCGCGCTGAACTGGAAGCAACCGAACTGTGCGTCCCGCGCAGCGCCGCTCACCCCAGACGCCGTCTTTTTCATCTGCCAGTCGACGCTCGACGCGCGCATGCGCGCCGGTACGGCGGGCGCAGACGGCGCCGCCGAGGCCGCTGGATTCGCCGCCGCGGCGGCGGCGGACATGCGTCAGACGAGCGTCGCCGAGGCCGTCAGATTCGCCAAGGGCAATAATCTGCTCGGTGTCGTCGTCGACGCCGCGCTTCTCGTACGTCGTCCGCCGCCGTCTCCACACTGACGCCGCAGGAAATGGTTCCGGACCTCATCCCCTCTGTCAAGGCTGCCGGCCTCGTGCTCATTGCGCTTGGGCGCCCCAGCGCCGCCGCGCTCTCCGGCGCGCCGCGCCCGACGGGCGTCTTTGGCTCGCCCGCGCTTCCCTACGGCGACGCGATCGACGGGTATATTGACGGGAATGTCGTCGAGTGTGGGGGTGGTCAGCCGGACGGTGGGGAAGACGGGAGTGTCGGGGAGGAGCGCACAAGCGATGCATCCCCCCCCTTTCCCTCGCGCGCACAGGACGCGGCACGCGGCCTGCCCTCGGACACCGAGGTGGCACGCGAGAGGATGGGCCAGTAGAAGGTGTAGTGAACGTCGATGCGTACATCCACGATGCGCCGCCGTTGCCTGCGTCCATAGATACACATCCCCCCCAAAGCAGCTATGATCATGCATGTCGCGGCGTGCGGCGTCCGCAAGGTTGCTCCTTTGGATGCTGGACGCATGAGAGGGGGGCGGCAGCTGCGAAGTTTGCCCGCCCAAAAGCCACCTGCACTGGGCAGCGGGCCTAGACCGCCTCGGCGCGATTCCGCGCACTTGTGCTCGCCTCTGCGCGCGTTGGCTCGTCTCTGCTCGCCTCTGCTCGTCTCTGCTCGCCTCTGCGCACCTCTGCTCGCCTTGGCTCGCCTCTGCTCGCCTTGGCTCGCCTCTGCTCGCCTTGGCTCGCCTCTGCTCGCCTCTGCGCACCTCTGCTCGCCTTGGCTCGCCTCTGCTCACCTCTGCGTGCCTTGGCTCGCCTCTGCGCGCCTCTTCTCACCTTCGCTCGCCTCCGCTTGTCGCCCTCGCATGCTTACCACCCCCCTCACCGTCTCCGCTTCGTGCGCCCCTTGTTTTTGGAGCCGCCGTGGAGAGGGGCGCCCTTGCGCTTGCGCCACTGCTCATTCCGTGAGCCACGCGGGTGTGAAGTGCTGATTTTCTGCGGCGCATCGACGGACGCATCCGCGGCATCCATGGGAGTGTCTGCTTGTGCCTCGTCGCGGTCCGCGTCCTGCCACTCGGCGTCGGCGTCGTCGGCGCCATCGGCGCGCGGCGCCGCGGGGCGCTCAGCGCGCGCGCGGAGACGCGCCGCCACCAGATTGAGGCGTGCTGCGGATGTCACTGCATAGTCGGATGAGGCCGAGTAACGCTTCTTGTTGCGTGCGGCGATCTTCGAGTTGGAACGCAGTCCTTTGGCCATGGTCGTCGGCGCCAGAGGACAGTGTGCAAGGGCGAAGAAAAAAAAACCGCGCCCGCACGGGCCGGTGGGCGACTCACTATGAAGAGGCCGAGAGCGATAGGCGACTCGGTAGGGCTGGTGCGTTGTTCCAGCGGTCACGGCGTTAGTTAAGGGGTATAACAGTTGCCTTCCACGTTTGAAACAGCAACAATGGGGGGTTCGAGTCCCTCACGCCGTAATTTTTTCCCCAATTCTCATTGGGCCGCGCTTCGCCAAATTGGGTGCACTGTTCGCCGCACGTGCATGCACCAGCTCGGTCGGTGAAGGACGAAGGGACCTGGACCCTGTCGGTACCCGATGGCTTACTAATATATTTTCCGGCCGGACGAGCCCGCCGTTGTGCCCGTCGCGAGCGTGGGGCCCAGAGGTCTGCTGTGGACGTACGCCACCCGGTGCCGCTCTCGGAATGACGGTAAAGACTGTGCTGCAGAGGCAGCCGCCTTCGTACGGTGCGTGCAGGGTGCGGGAACGCATGCTGACGCGTGCGATAGGGAAGAAGCAGGAGTATTCGTTCCACAAGACGCTCGGGAAAGGCACGTTTGGCGTCGTCCGCGCAGCCACGCGGCAGACCGCGAACGGCCCGCAGAAGGTCGCCGTCAAGGTCGTGAGCAAGCACCTGCTTAAGGGTCACGAGGAGGTCGTCATGCGCGAGATCGAGACCGTGCGTGGGCTCGATCAGCCACACATCATCAAGCTGCTGGACTGGTTCGAGTCGAAAGATAAGGTACGCCGGCGCGCCGCCGCTGCCGCGCTTACCCACAGTTCTACCTCGTTTTCGAGGAGGCGGACGGCGGCGAGCTGTTCGACCGGCTCTCGCGCGGCCGGTTCACGGAGGAGGATGCGAAAAGCACGATCTACGTCGTCCTCGAGGCGATCGCGTACATGCACCGGCACCACACCGTCCACCGGGACATCAAGCCGGAGAATATCCTGTACCGCACGCCCGCGGACGACTCGAACATTGTGCTCGTCGACTTTGGTATTGCGGCGCATCTGCGGGACACGGATGACGACCACCACCTCAAAGGCCTCTGCGGGAGCGTCGGCTACGCGGCGCCGGAGGTCATTGCGCGGCAGGGGCATGGGAAGCCTGTCGACATGTGGGGCCTCGGCGTCGTGACGTTTGCCATGTGCGTCTGCGCGGCGCGCCGCTCACCCGCAGGCTTTGCGGATATGCACCCTTTTCCTCGGCGGACCCGCAGCTCTTCCGCAAACAGGTGGCGGAGGGCAAAATTGAATTTGGTGCGGGGGGCCTCTGCGCGGCTCACATCAGACAACAAATACTGGCAGTCGGTCAGCGCGGAGGCGATCGACTTCGTGAAGCGCTGTCTCACACTCGATCCGGACCGGCGCATCACTGCAGAGGAGGCGCTTCACCACCCCTGGTTCGCCATGCGCCGCGACGACGCCGGCGACGTCAGCGCTGGGCTGCGCGACAACTACCGCTCGCGCTGGAAGGCCGCCGTCTCCGCGGTGCGCGCGACGCAGCGGTTTGGGAAAGCGATCCAGCCGCGAGAGCCGTGCACGGAGCCGCCGTCCCCGCTGTATTCTGACGAGGACGACGCGGATGCGCAGGCGTGGGGGGAAGAGGGCGACGGGGCGGAGAGGGAAAGCGAGGGAGGGGTTGCGGTAAAGAGGGGGGGCACTCTCGTGGGCGCGGACGGCGTGGGGACCCCGAGCGTGTACGCGGGCGGCGGCGCGGGCGCGGGCGGCACGGGGGCAACCAGGTCAGACGTACCCCCGGCCGGTCCCGCGCATCTGACGCCTGCGGACGCGTCAGCCAAGACGCGGTCCAATGCGGCTCCCATGCACTCCACGCCTATCGCCAGTGCGCCCACCATCGTGGCACCGACGCGCTCCTCCACGCGCGACGGGAGTGACGCGGAGCCCGGCACGCCCGAGCGCGGGCGCCACCACAGCCCGTGGGGCATCCACTCGCTTGTGTCCAAGCTCCATTCTATGTACCAGTAGCCGGTTTGTGGGCCTCTCGATCGCCTTGTCGTTCGCGCTGTAGACGAGAAGCCTGTGGTTCACGGGGAGGGCAATGCGGGTGGCTACGCTGCAGGCCCCTGTCGGGTGCAGCGACGGGGCCCACACGGCCGCCAGACAGGGATAGCCACAGACAACGCATCATTTCCATGCCGCCGCGGTGCCCTCGATGCGCACGCCCCACTACATATGGTCGTGTGGGTCCTCACGCGGCTGCTCCGGGGGGATGGTGATCGCATCATCAATGCGGAGCAGGCTCGTGGCCGCCTCCAGGCTGCTCTTGAGGGAACGAATTTTGCTCAACGACGGCTCGAGGACGCCAGCACGCAGGTTGTCGCGGACATCGCCGGTGATCAGGTCGAGGCCGAAGAAGCGGAGCGTCTTCTTCGGGTCGTCGGCGCCGGCGTTCTGCGCGGCGGTGTGGAACGCGCGCAGCTTCGCAACGAGATCAATGCTGTCCTTGGCCGCATTCACCGAAAGCGTCTTCGGGATGACGAGAAGCGCGTTCGCAAACTCGGCGATGGCGAGCTGCTCGCGCGAGCCGAGGGTCGTCGCGAAGTTCTCCAGATAGATGTCGAGCGCGGCCTCGACGGCGCCGCCGCCGGCGACGACCATGCCGCTTTCGAGCGTGCGCTTGACGACGCTGAGCGCGTCGTGCAGCGCACGCTCCATCTCGTCCAGCAGATAGTCGTTCGCGCCGCGCAGGATGACGGAGCTCGCCGAGTACGTCTTCGCGCCGCGCACGAGGATGAGCTCGTCGTCACTCACGCGCTCTTGGACGACCTCGTCCGCGTGCCCGAGGCTGCTCGCATCAAAGGACTCCTCGCCGTCGAGGTTCGCGAGGCTCGTGACGAACTGGCCGCCGGTCGCCTTGGCGATGCGACGCAGGTCCTCCCGGCGACAGCGGCGCACGGCCATTGCGCCCGCCTGCACGAACTCCTTGAGGCACAGGTCGTCGATGCCCTTGGTCGTGAGCACGACGTTCGCGCCCGTTGCGAGGATCTTGCGCACACGCTCGAGCACGATCTCGCTCTCCCGGGCACGGATTTTCTCCAGCTGGTCCGGGTCGTCGATGGTGATGTGGACGCCCATGTGCATGCGCTGCTTCACCAGGTTGATGTCGAGGCACGCGATCTTCGCGCCCGCGATGCGCGTCTTCATCGCCTGCGACGCGACGGTGCAGTTCAGCGCGTAGCCGTGGATAAACAGGGACTCGCGGACGGACTTGCCGTGCGCCTTGAGCACGTTCACCGCCTTGACTGGGTATTTCGTCTCCCCGCGCCCGTTCACCGACTTCACCGCGAGCATCGCGTCGACGGCGAGCTGCGCGAAGAAGTCGTCGTCGCTCCCAATCACCTTGCTCGCCATGCTTGTCTTCGCCACGCTCAGCAGGCTCTCCTTCCCGAGCGCGTCCACCTTCACCGCGAGCTGGTCCTGGATATACTTCACGGCCTCGCGGCAGGCGAGGCGGTACCCGGTGATGATCGTCGTGGGGTGGATCTTGTTCTTCACGAGGTCGTTGGCGCGCCGCAGCAGCTCGGCCGCGAGGATCACAACGGACGTCGTCCCGTCGCCGACCTCTTTGTCCTGTTGCTCCGCGAGCTCGACGAGGATCCGCGCCGCCGGGTGGTCCGTCTCCAGCAGCTGCAGGATCGTCGCGCCATCATTCGAGATCGTCACATCCCCGATGTCGTCGACGAGCATCCTGCCGTCAGCCACGCACGCCACCGCCACCTACTTGTCGAGCCCGACGGGCCCCAGCGACGACTTCACAATGTTCGCCACGGACTGCACCGCAAGCACATTCTGGTCGCGGATGTCCGAACCTGTCAGGCGGTTCCCGCCGATGAACAGGCCCGCATTGCGCGGGTCCTTTTGAAAAATCTGCGCCATGGCGTCGCTTCCGTTGGCAACAGTGCTCGCGTCGTCGCCCCGCGCCAGTGGCGATGGTTTCGGCCGGGTGGATTAGGTAAGCGAAGAAAAAAGGGGATCGAGCCAGCGCGCCTGGATCCGTGCGCGCAGCGGCAGGCCGGCGTGCACGGGGCAGGGGCATGCGTGCGGCGAGTCAAGGCAGTGAAGCGGCGGGGCGCCCCACGCGGCCGCGCTACAAGGGCGGGGCGCCTCTATGGTAAGTCCATAGGTGCGCGTCGCGTGTGAGAGTGGTCGGGGCTGCATTCAACAGACGAGTCTATGCAGTGGTGGAGGGACTGCCGGGGTTGTGGCATTCCGCAGCGCTGCCACGACTGTGCTCGACAGCGCCATAGGAGCCAGAATTGTCAGAGCAAGGCGGGTCGTGCACAACACAGTCAAGGCCGCGCCCCACACCCCGACAGGGCAACCCACCGCTGGCCTCTCCACCAAAACCCCCTCGCCGCCTTTTTCGCTCCCCCTCGGCGCCTTTTTCACCCCCGCCTCCCCCTGCCCCTGGCGCCCCCCCCACTCGCACCCCCCCTTTCCCTACCCCCCCTTCCACGCCCCCCTTCCCTGCCGCCCCTCGCACCCCCCCTTGCCCCCCTCCCCCTCGCACCCCCCCTTTCCCCCCTCCCCCTCGCACCCCCCCTTTCCCCCCTCCCCCTTCCACCCCCCGTTGGCAAGCGGCCCACGGCATCGTGGGCAAGCGGCGCAAGCGGGATGGGCTCCGTGTCGCTGTCGTCCGCATCCGACTCGGCGCTGGCGTCGCTGTCGTCGTACGTCTGCGGGCCGTCATCAAACAGCTCTTCGTCGCTCTGTGGGAGAGAAGACGGCGCTGCGCGGTCCTCGTACGCGAACTCGTCGTCCTCCACGGGCCCGCTCCCCCCCGCACGGTCCTCGTAGGCGAACTCGTCCTCTTCCACTTGCGCGTCGCTCTCGCTCGCGTCCGCAGCCTCCGCGCGCGCGCTGTTGCGCTCCTCGCCGCGGGCACGGCTCTGCGTCCCCTTTTCGCGCTGCTTCCGCTCCACGTTGTGCGCCTGCTCGGAACGGCGCTGCGCGGTGAGCTGCTTCTGCGCATCGACGCGGCGGTCCTGCGCGGCGACCTCGGCAGGCGTCTTGTGTACTGCAGGTGAGCAACGCCGCGCGCGCGCGGCAACCCACCATAGTCGTGGTATAGCACCTCGCTGCCGTTCAGCCCCTCCTCGATCTTCACGAGACGCAGCTCCATGCGTGGGCCAATCTCCCGCAGACGCACCGCACGCTGCGCATTCGCCACGT